AACACCATTCATCCGAGTATTCGCAGCGTCCAAAAAAGCCATTTTCTATGTTAGCATGTAATATTATTTAAACTCTTTAGAGTTTGACGTTTTAATACAAAATTTCTGGATCATTAAATTTGTAAGTAAATTAATAATCTTTTGTAGAGCAATACCACCATTGCACCATTGCACCATTGCAAGTTTCTAGAATTTCTTTAAACAAACAAAGCGTTGAGTTATCCATCTCATGATACACCATTTACCTCTGTATTTCCTACTTGACTAAATGAAACTGGTTGAATGCACTGACATAGTTTGACCATTGTCTGTGGTTATCGCATCAACATAAAATTAAAAACATTTAGTTTAAATACCAAATTTAAATTGGCTACAACACCTTTAAATTTGCAAAACATATTCTGAAACTAGGAACATTTATTAGCTGACAGTTTTTAAAATAAATTGCTTCTACAGACTCTACCGTTTATATTAATCTCCTGATGCAAGTTGACATGATGTCTGCAAAAATCTTTGAAAATAAAAACTACAACTAAATAGACCTTACCATCAAGCAGTGACGGATCCAGGGAGGTTGGGAGTATGCATCTCCCTCCCCCACCAGAATCACCAGAGTCCAAAAATATCTCAGAAATGAGGGAGATGCAAAAGTAATACAAAACACAAAAATATTTCAACATCATTATTCCCCACCCCCAAAAATTCATGGATCCTTCACTGCACTTTAAGAAAAAGTCCATTATATAGAGGAAAGCGGGGCAACATGGCGAACGTTTTCAAAGCCCTGAGTTATTGAAAAACTATAAGTCGTGAAGCCATAATACTTTCTCAGTATGTTTATGCTATTAAGTTCTTTCATTGCCTGCATGAATTTTCAGTTTACAAATATAAAAATTTGAAATAAATATTAAAATAAAAAGTTCATAAATTTGTCATCTGGTCACGTGACCGGGGCAAGGACTTAATATTCAATTTTTACCTCCAATTTTACAAACTTTTAAAAACTGCTAATAACTCTAATTAAAGTAAAAAAAATTAACATAAATCGCAAAAACTACTTCTAAAGAAGTTATACTTGAAGGACACCATCCATTATGAGAAACCGAAAGTGAGGAATTTTTTTTAAGCTTAAAAAGTAAACTTATTTGTATAAAATGGCGTTAATAATATTTCAAAAAACCAATTGGTGTTTTAAAATACAAGATGCAAATACAGTTTCGTCTACACCTAATTTTAAAAATTTTTGTTGAGTTGTTATATGAAAACCCATCTTGTCCCATTCGCCATGTTGCCCCGCTTTCCCCTACATGTAGGGGAAAGCGGGTGCAATAGCGACAGATGCAGTGCGTTGTATACAACGCACTGCATCTGTCGCTATTGCACCAACGAGTTTTCCGTTATGTTAATGGATTAAAATTTAAACGAATTGAAATTCGTCAATATTATTCCGTTGAAATTACGGATTTATTCCGTTTGTGCAACAAAAAATTCGTTACAATAAAGGAATTATTAAACTAGGCTGTTTTGGTAAAATAAAGAACTTACTACGTCATCGTATTGAATAACTTATTATTCCCTTTACTAAAATAAGAAAGGAATTAAGCCAGATAGAACTGAGGTTTCATTACAAAAAAGTTCTTTTTAATATATAGATTATTTTATATTCAATATCTGATTCAAGCAGTACTAACAAACTAACTTGATCAGGAGGTATTTTTAAGCAAGCTTTAAGAACGTTTTAATTTTTAAATTAAAAACTAATTAAATATTTATAATAATTTAATTCAATACAGAAACTTTCAATTACAAAATTTAAATAAAAATATTAAAAGTTTTTCAATATATGTTTTATTAATACAGTTATTATATTCAAGGTCAATATAAAAACACAGACATGTATACAATTGTTACTATACTAAGTTTCAATTTTTATTACTGTTGTAAATTCATGTGTGCGCTGTGGTAGTTTATTTCATCCGCCTGATTTATTCCATCCTACTGCGTATTAATCACATTTATCCGATTCATGCGACTGAAAAATTTGTAAACAACTATTAAATAACCATTACCTTTACAACATAAACATGGGAACAGAAAACCACATTTCAATTCCAGCTGTGGTTGATTATTTAAAGATAAACAAACCTTAAAACACAATAACGAAAATATTGAATGTAAATGATATACCATAATGAAAAATGAAAATAAATTTTTACTAATAACCCTGTAAGAAACATTTGTTGCTAATTCTTTTCTAAATTGCTAATAAAAATTATGTTGTTTTATTAGTTTTTTTTTTATTTTTTTTTTATTTTTTTTTTATAATTTAGTCGTACAAATATTTACAAGTTCCGTAATTTAAAATATTTAAAAATGGCAAGGACGAGAAGAAGACGGGGTTGTCTTATCACCAAGTCCCTTAAAGTCCCTTCTAGTTCTGCATTTCAATATATTAAACAAAAATTAAATACAAAAGATAACCTTACCAAGTGAAGCCAAGTGAAAGGTTCTAAAATTTTTACACACATCAATAGTTGTAAAATTTTTACACACATCAAGAATAAAAGAAAAAAATGTCTCTCACATTTTCATTTAATAATAACAAACACGTTAAAAGTATTAATAATTAGAATTTAAATTTGATACCTCGTGCCGGAATGCCACATGTCTAAAGTAGGAAGTTCTATACAAATATAAACAAGCAATATATAAACATAGTTGTAACTAACATAAAAAATTTGTAAGTAAAAAAAAATAATTTTACAACTAATTTAAACTTGCAGTCTGATATAGCATGAGACGTGTCTTAAATAGAAAATTATAAAACTTAAATATACAAATTAAAACAATCAATATATAAACTTTGACGTAACTAGCCTAAATAAATACCCATAAAAAAAATATGCAAGTAAACAATTTACAATTGATTTATTTTTGTAAGTTTTATCAATTTACAACTGATAAAACTTACAGTGAAAGATTGCATGCCACGGGTCTAAAATTGCAAATTATAAAAGCATATAAACTAGCTCTATGTAAACATAGCTGCAACTAACCTAAATATAATGATATCCACCAAAAGAAATGTTGACATTTTTAATTTTACGACTGATTTAAATTTATACTGTAG